GAATTGGAACAACAACAGATTCCATTAAACCTAATAAGCATGTAATTAAGTAACTGCTGGAGACAAAGCACTGTGCCAGACGTCTGGGGTATGTGAAGATGAATAAGATAGGGACCTTGAGCTCAGGGCACTAACAGATGGAGGGGAGAGATGAGCGCTAATCCAGTGGGAATAGAATCATAAAAAGCTTTATCAAGAAGACAGCATTTGAGATGGTCTTGGAGGATTTGCAATTTTTTGATAGGTAGAGATGAAGAGGCAGCATCTGGCTCCCAGGAATCCTGGTTCTAAGAGATGCTAGGAAGGAAGGGACTGTGTGAAAGGCCTGGTAACAGAAGCCACTCTGCACTCAGTCTGTGCCCCCTGGGGACAAAGGGGCATCACAGCAAGGCCCAGGGAACCATCTGAGGGGAGTGTTTCCATGTTAATGTCAACATCCTGCAGTGCATGGCTCTGGCGGAGGGCACGGTGGAAGAAGAGAGAGAAAGGAAGAGAGGGTGAGGGAAGGCAGGACAGTGAGAAGCCCCTGAACATATTGAGTACCCACCCATTCCAAGCTGTGGCGCCAGCAGTATCTGGCTGCTCCAGATGGTGAGATAATTCTGCAGGGGCAGCCACAGGTAGATGACCTTGAGTGTCAGCTTAAACTATAAAGAGCTGGGCCCAGGACCCAACTGTTATCTGGGGAGCATGGTAAAAGTTCAAGGAAGCCAAAAAAAAAAAAAAATTATTGAATACTTCAAAGGAAATATCTCTGAGGATTTCAGGATATTTCTTTGCATGTTTTTTGTGTTTGGGATCTCAAATCAAAGCTGGGATCGTGAGTTGCTAGGAGTGAATGATATCGTCCGAGGTGGTCAAACTCTTCTCCTTTATTCAAGTATGAGAATCTCAGTTGTTCATTCCACGGCGTCTGTCCTCAGCACACCTCCTCCCCGGAAGGTGAAGGAGATAAGGCAACACCTTTTTCAATGTGGTCATGTGGGAAAAGGTGGCAGCCCTAAACCTCTCCCTGCTTTTGGCAGCTGCGTGAACATCCTGCTGAGGGGAAAATGACGAAAAGTTCTATCTTTTGGCATCTGGCGCAAACTCACCATCCCAGCCCAGGCTCAGACGTCCCTGCTTTAAGGCTGTGTCTCAGTATGTAGGATCGAACCTTGCAAAGCAACCCCAAGCAACAGTCCCCATTAGTGTATGTTTTAAGTTGATAAATTATGTTTGTGTGTGAGAAACAATTGCTTCTCAGACAATTGCCCACAGACAGCGGAAAAACAAAGAACACCTAGCCTGTGACCGGTATTCCTTCTCCACTACTGGTTTGTAGCTATTGTTACAGCTTCCAGATGGTTGACATTTGAAGGTCTCCTGCCGATACCTCGCTTTGAGGGAGCCCTGCTGCCTCTCACTGCGAGGCTGAGACAGCGTACGGTGGGCTGTGCAGCTGTGGTGCTGATTGCAGCAGTTCTTGGTGGAGTCTCAATCCCATGAATCCTTCCAGAAGCTCCTCTATTCTGTCTCCCCGCTTGAGTTCTTGCCCCTGTGAGCCCAGCTCGGAGCCCAGCCTCTCTACTCCATTTAGCATATTCCTTTCTTCAAAATAAACTTTTGGGCATCAAAATGTGTAATGGGCCTTCATCTCCTGGGCCACATCAGGAGAAGAGGAAGGAAAAGCCCCTCGTCCCCAACCCATCACCAGGATGCCGTTTTAAGCATGCTTGGTCATTAGTGGTTCATTCCACTGTTCCTAGCTTTCAGCTAGGCACAGCGCAAGCCCTATAAATGCATGCTGACTCAGAAATTCCCCTCCTATATTTGATTTTTCAGTAATGCCATTAGAATGACAGCCTCTGAAAAGCAGCTTGTGAGAAAGACTCTTCTAAAGATAGTTTTGATTGTAATTCTTCCTCCTCCTCTCTCTTCTCTTCTCTTCCCCTTCCTCCCGCCCTCCCCTTCTTTTTCTCCTCCTCCCCCTCCTCCTCCTTTTACATAAATGCTGCCTCTCTTTTCCACCCACCCCCTTCAGTTCTTTACCATCCCCCTTCCTGCTCACCAGCACCTGCTCCTGGGCAATGAGCTATATCGAAGTCTCTGCAGAGCAGACGTCCTCTCAGACTCTCGGTACCACACATATGGGAAGCCCGCCCTTGAGGAGGTTGGGGGAATTACCACAATCACAAATACAGGCGGAGATGAACAGAGAGGTGTCTTTCCAATTCAGAAAGCCTCTGAGCACTCTATGCTCGGAGTAGAGGAGGACTGTTGAAAAGGGCCTCCATCCAAACCCTCTGCTGGTTCAACTGGAGTCTCCACTCCTGGCTCATTGTAAATGCAACTTACTCATTTCAGACGCAGGGCCTTTTGTCAGTACTCTGCTCTGTTACATTCCACCCAGAGTGACTTTATCCCTCTTCCCAGCCTGGCCAAATGGCTCTCCTCTCTCAAGCACACACCCACAACTCACGTCTTCCACAAAGCCTTCTTTGACTGTTCTGGCCAATGGGGAGCTTCCCTCTCTTGGACTCTGTGGTATTTGATATTTATGGCTAAAGAACTCTTCTGAAGTTGTTCTCTGCAACGAAGATGCTGCCAAGAGTGGCCCAACTTTTCCTTAAGGATCCAGTAGTAGCCTGAGATTCCCAGACCTTCTCTCCCTCTCTTGATCTTTGCCTATGGGCTGCTGCCACTGGGCTGAAGGGAAGATTCAAATCCTCAAAGCATGGGTCACAATTTGTAGGAAGTGCTTTGGGTTTATTTTTTAATCTTCAAAGGCTGTCTTGTACATGTCAAATTTTCTTTTGAAAGGACATGGCGGAAAGGCAAATTAAGCAAGAAAACAGTTACTAAATAGTAGCTGAGCATCTTTTTTTTAAGAAACAAAACTTAATTTGTACTCTAATACAGAAGGATTTTTAAAAGTTATTAATAGAATGGCTTCTTTCTCTATGGATTTTTTGGTAAGTGGATAAAGTTATTCAAGGATAGGTCAATACTTTATATAAAAAATGAAAGTGAAATGATGAAGCCACCTCCAAAGTGGCTACAATGCAATGTTAAAATTTATTTGTTTCTGAGACATAAGAACATCAGAAGTGCCAGCTTTGCCAGCTCTCTCAAACTCCGCAAGCTCTCCCTAATAGCAACACCACCAGAAATGTCCAAGGAAGATGTGATCATCCTCAGAACATTCTCACAGCTTAGAGCTGCTCCCTCCAAATCACAGTTTCCCTTCACAACCCATCATACATGTCACTTAGGAGTTAATCTGGTCTCTAGTCACACAAATTTGGTTTGAATTATTTCTCCAAATTTGCGACTCAATTTAAATAACACAATCAGAACTCAGTGGATACAGAAGAAGATTTGGAGAAGTTCAGATTTTTGCTTGTGTAAGATGGTTTTAAGCACGTTTTAAAAATCGTATTTATCTTATGAAGTTTTATACATCTCTGAATAGTACGCTGTTAAGGAGACTTGTATGGTAGAGTAACAAAAAATTGGTATAAAAATAAAAACATAAATTTGTAGTTTGAATAAAAGAAGAGCAGGGCTTTTTAAACTTTTTTTATTTTTAGAGATGGGGTCTCACTCTTGCTCAGGCTGGTCTCGAATTTGAGCTCAAGCAATCCTTCCGCCTTGGCCTCCCAGAGTGCTGGGATCACAGGCATCTTGTGATGACAAGAGGCCCATTCGCCATTCTGTGGTGAATGTGTCTTGCTCTTATTCCATAAACCTATCTTGTCCTTCCTCAATAAACTTCGTTGCAGGCTTACAAAAAAAAAAAAAAAAAGCAGCCAGAGCCCGACAACTAGTCATTCCACATCTGATATAATCTCTAGCACTCAGACATAGATTAAGATCAACACCTCACTTACTATGACTAAGGCAGTAACAGCCCAAATATGGTTTGGTTAAACTGCACTCAACAATCTAGGTCACAGAGAATAAATGAAGCAAGCCAAGTCATCAAGACACTTTTTATACCAAAGGAGGGAATGAGGCTTGGTTAAATGAGTTGCAGCTTTATTTTCATTAAAGAGCTTTTCTCTAAAAAGCATGTATCCTGATTGCATTGTTATTAATTACATCCTTATTATTTTTATAAGACAGGGCAAGGGCACCAGAATCAATAATAATAGAAATGGAAGAAACATTTATGTTAGACTCATTAAAATTTCAATTTAAAATCTCTTTGTAGCTCATGCTTGTAATCCCAGCATTTCGGGACGTTGAGTTAAGAGGATCGCTTGAGGCCAAGAGCTTGAGACCAGCCTGACCAACATAGTGAGACCCCATCTCTACAAAAAATAGAAAAATTAGCTGGATGTGGTGGTGTATGCCTGTAGTCCCAGCTACTCAGGAGGTCAAGGCAGGAAGATCACTTGAGCCCAGGAGTTTGAGGTTGCAGTGAGCTATGATGACACCACTGCACTCCAGCTTGGGTGACAAAGTGAGACCCTGTCTCGAACAAACAAACAAAAATCTTTGCCTACATGGAAGTATTGTTTCAAGATCATTAGAAATAAATGTTCTTAAATTTTGCTTTCTACCAGATAACAAATGACTAGTAGGATGAAATGACTTCACTGTCTATTAAAATAGTTTCATGAAAAGATGGGCACAGTGGCGTGTGCCTCCAACCCCAGCTACTCGGGAGGTGAGGCAAGAGGATTGCTTGAGTCCAGGAATTTGAGACTAGCCTGGGCAACATAATGAGACTCTGTCTCAAAAAAACAAAAGAAAACAAAATAAATCAAAAAAGTTTCATAGGAAGGAAAGATTTTAAAAAGTGAAGTGCCATGAGAATTGAAGAGTGCCACATCTGGGTGGTTTGTACCTTCTAGGCAGGAAAAAATGAAATTCTGATAATGTCTCTAATCACATGCAAAGGACCTCGGCTACTTTTCAGCTGTAACGTGTGATGCCAGAAGACAAGGGCACTGCTGGATAAGGAAAGTATGGGGGTTGCCTGGCAGTTGCTCCACCAAGACTGGGGTACTTACGGGGCAGTGAGGTAACCTTCCAAAAAGCCAGCCACAAACATGATGACCTCATTGCTCAGGGCCTGGGCACCATAGCCAGCTCGGATCTCCAGGATGCCCCAGCCTGTGGTTTTCACAGAGTTATTGTAAAAGCCGTAGGCATCCCCATTCTTGTCCATTATGTTTTTGACTTGTACTGTCTTCTCAGCAGGCATCCAGTACGCAGTTGCATAGTAGACTTCTGGAAGAAAAGGGAATAGTGATAGAACGCTATTCAACTGGGTTGCTGCTGATGCATTTTTTTCCGTGTAACTGACAATTCCAACACATTTGCTTTTAAAGATTTCCATTCAGTTGGAATTGGGAAAGCTGCCATTGTAGTTTGCCTTTATTCCAAATGGGGGGAAATTAGAGCCTCCACCAAGGCAGATGAGCCCAGAGCACAAAGAACCAGGTCAAAGATAGGGGTGTAGTTGCAGCACCATGGAGATGGGCCTAAGAGCTTCATCCGTAGAGGGTGGGACTCTGGGCAGGGCTGGAGCTGAACCTCTTAGTTCAGACAAGGATAGGGCTCTTGTCCCTAGTCAGCAACTTCTTCCATTCCCCTCAGCAATTGGACCGACCGTTTTCAGGCTCCTTATCCTTTATCTCCTGCCTAATTCTTCACACGTGACATCAGATCCCTACTTTGCAGAAAAAAGTAGAAGCTGTCACCTATGACTCCTCAAGGTCCCGATCATTTCATGGATCCATCCCCACAAACCCTGCACTCGTCAAGGCCATCTCTCCTTTCTGTCACCTCAACCCTTTCACCCACACTCAGTACCTCACCCCTCTCGCCTTCTTTAGGAACTCTGTTCCATCCTGTATCTTCTTGCTCCTGTACCCTAAAGCAGCGATCCCCAACCTTTTTGGCACCAGGGACCAATTTCATGGAAGACAATTTCTTCATGGACAGGGTAGGGAGGCAGAGCTCAGGTGGTGAGGCGAGTGATGGGGAGCGGCTGGAGCGGCTGTAAATAGAGACGAAGCTTCACTCACTCGCTCACCTCCTGCTGTGTGGCCTGGTTCCTAAGTTTCTTAGGATACAATTTCTCCACAGACAGGGGGTGGTGGGGGTGAGGGGAGAGGCAGAGCTCAGGTGGTGATGTGAGGCCTGGTTCTTAACAGGCTGTGGACCGGTACTGGGCCACAGCCCCAGGGGGTTGGTGACCACAGCCCTAAAGTGTGCTCTCTCTCTCTCACTCTCTCTCCCCCTCTGCAGTGGCTCCTTCCCCTTTAGCATGGTTAACATGTTCCACTGTCTCATAGCTAAAAACAAACCAACCACAAAAGCCATCTGGGTCCCGTGGCCCGATGTAGCTATTGTGGGACACTCTCACTCCCTTTGTGAAACTGTTACAAAGTCGATAGAGTATCTGTGCTGTGTCAGGGACTGTGCCACATACGAGTGACAGAGCTGCGAGCAGGAGGGCATAGCTCCAGGCCGCATCTTCTGGGAAGAAGAGTGCAAGGAAATGCTCAAGTCCTGATGTCACATGAACTTCTGAAAACATTAGACCCTGGTGACCCTTTATTCTTAAAGCTCTTTCCTCCCATGGCACCTGGGACGCCACTCTCTCTGAAATCTCCTTTGCTGCCCTTGTCCTCATTCTCCCCATGGATTCCTCTTTGCCCCACAGCACACCGGATGGCACAGTCTGAATGATTCTCACATTCCCTCCCTCCCCATCCTCCATCTTCTGCTTCTGTCTCCGTGATCTTCCACCCTGAAACCTGAGTCCACCCCGGCCTCCTCTCTCTCCCTCCCAACTCACGTTTAATCCAAACTTCCTAAATATCCCCCTCTCCAGTCTCTGTCTCTTTATCTCGACACTTCTATGCTACTTGAGGTAACACAACTACCTTAACTATAGAAGAGGCCTCTTTCAAGGGTCCTCTGACCTTTATTCCATTCTTCATTCTCTGCCAGAGTAACTTTTCCAAAAGGCAAATTGATTTTGTTAGCTTGCCTACTGAAAGTCCTCAATGGCTTCTATTTCCTATGAAAAAAGAGTTCTTCAGCTTACCCTCTTGGCCTTCATGACCTGGTTTCTAGCTACCCAATCAGCTTCCTCACCCCCACCGCACGCACTTTGTGATCCAGAAACCATCCCATCCAGCTCGCAACCTGCCAGAACCCAGGTCAACACCTCTGACTTTGCATATGCTATTTCTTCTGCCTGAGATTTTTTTCTCTCTTATTAGCCAAACAGCAACCTCAAAATTGCTATTTAGGACTCAGGAAGCAGCACCCCTTTTGTAGGAGTTGACTTTCCCTAAGAGCTCAGTGTACCTTGTGTGCATTATCTTCTCTGTATCTTGTCATATAGTGCTGTAACGTACACGTCTGCCCTAGACTATGAACTCCTTGAGGCCAGACACTTTTTTCTCAGTACTTGGTGCAGTGCCTGACCCATAACAGGTGCTCAATAAACATTTGTGAAAGGAAGAGAGACTTAGGAAGGAAGAGAGGGAGAAAAAAGGAAATAAGAAATGGAAAATGAAACAGCATATAGAGCATTTTTTCCCTCTGTCTGAGAAACCATTGCAAATGTGCTCTAGTTAAAGACAAACTGTACATTCACGCAGGCCGTTAAAGAGGAAGGAGGAGGCCGGAATGACTCTCGAGTTCTAGCTTGAGACTCAGTGGACGGATGTTGTATCATTCAGCAAGAGAGGCAGCAGTTGGGGAATAGGTCTGGGAGGGAATATGAGTCTAATTTTAGACATACTGAGTTTTTAGTAGTTAACAGGCTAGACAGTTGAGATGAAATATTTATATAGTATTATCTGTTGGCAACATTCAAAACTGAACCAACATTTTGTTTTTTTTTTGATGTTAAGTTTGTCTATCAAATGATCACTAAAAGTATAATCTTAACACTACAGCATCATGGTACCTTGACCCAGGGAACTCAGTGATAGGCTGAGACTTGGTCAGGCTTAGAAACTAATCCTGGGCTGGGCACGGTGGCTCATGCCTGTAATCCTAGCACTCTGGGAGGCTGATCACATGAGGTCAAGAGTTTGAGACCAGCCTGAGCAAGAGCAAGACCCCGTCTCTACTAAAATAGAAAAAATTAGCTGGGCGT